TGGGCTGTGCCTCCCCCCTCAATCTAGGGCTCCCTGAGAGCTGGGCTGTGCCTCCCCCCTCAATCTAGGGCTTCCTGAGAGCTGGGCTGTGCCTCCCCCCTTGGTCTAGGGCTCTCTGAAAGCTGGGCAGTGTCTTCCCTTTCAGTCTAGGGGTCTCTGAGAGCTGGGATGTGCCTCCCCCCTCAATCTAGGGCTCCCCGAGAGCTGGGCTGTGTCTCCTCCTTAAGTCTAGGGCTCCCTGAGAGGTGGGCTGTGCCTCCCCCCTCGGTCTAGGGCTCCCTGAGAGCTGGGCTGTGCCTCCCCCCTCAATCTAAGGCTCCCTGAGAGCTGGGCTATGTCTCCCCCATCGGTCTAGGGCTCCCTGAGAGCTGGGATGTGCCTCCCCCCTCAGCCTTTGTCCCTGCATGTGGGCTGCCAGTGTCTTTCTGCTCTCCTCGTTGAGCCCCAGGGCTTTTCCCCACCAGGCTCCTTCTGTGGGCAGCAGGGTGAGCCCCTGCACCCCTTCTCCCATTGCAAGCCTGTGATTCTGGTGCTGGTGGGCTCCCCCTGCCCCCTGCCTCTGCTGGTTCTACCCAGGACCAGGCCTGAGAGGCCGTGACCGCTGCAGGACCCCACCCCGCCCAGAGCTGCTGACTCGGAGAAAATGGAACAAAACAGGCCTGGGAAAGGGGGCGATATTGGAAAAACAGCCCAGCCCAACCCAGCCGTGGAGGCCTCCTGGGCCTGGGAGGAAGCGAGTCGGCCTAGGGCCGGCCAAGTTGGACTTAGTCTGCATGAGTCATCGGCAGCAGGGAGTTTGGGCGGGGGGCTCGGGGGCCAGGGCCATGCAGCTGGGGTCAGATTCCGTGCAAGCAAGGGCCAGGACCACTCAGGGTGGCCTGAGCCTACACCCCAGGAAAGGGGCTGTATGTGGCTCTGGCCCGGCTTCAGCAGGCTCCACTGGCACCCAGAGTTGTGAAGACCCTCACCCAAGAACACCCAGCAGTCCTGCCCTGCTCTCCAATCTCATCGCTGTGGGACCCCCAGGGTAAAGCCTGACCCACAGTGCCCCCTTCCGCCCAGGGTGTGGGACCAAGTGAGCTGGTGGGGCGACTTACAGCTTCTCTTGCTCCGGGGGCTCCAGAGGGCACTGGCTGCCTCCATCCTGGTCCTGGTCCTGGTCCTGGTCCTGGTCCCGCAGACGCTGGTCTCTCTCCCGCCTTCGCCGCTCCCGGGCAGCCTCCTCCTCATCTTCCAGGTTCCACTGTGTGGCAAGCCTGGGGGACACAGAGAGATGGTCACACCGCGGCCCACACCTCAATTGTACCCCAGCAGGCCACACCGGGGCTGCCTGGTGAGGGGCTGGACTGCCCGGCCCTCTCCAGGCCTCAGTTTCCCCATCTTTAAGGCAGAGGTCATGTGAGATGGTGTGAAGGTGCCCTCAACTAGAGGGAGGTCCAGGGGTTCTGTAGGCATTGGTGACAGAGGGACCCCAGGTCCAGGCCTGGAGAACCTGGGGACTCCCAGCCTGGCTCCCCAGACCTGATCAGAGCCAGGGTACAGGCCAGTGTGGCTTTGGCCTTGGGCAGGGCCCTGGAGGACGTGCACAGGGGCCCTGGAGGTTCAGAGAGCTGGCTGTGGCCACCAGACAGTGGTGCCCTGGGTCCCACCTGAGTCAGGGGGCTGTGGCCACACAGTAGGGCACTGCAGGGCTGGGGAGGAGCTCAAGCAGGGCAGACCCAGCTGGACAGCCACCTCCATACCTTGAGCACTATGGCTGGGGTGCTCCTTCCCGCTTCCCAAGAGCACGGTGACTTGGGAGAAAGTGGTCCCACAAGAGGGCCTGAGACTCAGAGAAGGGGGTACCTCCCACCTGGGTCTGACCCCACAGATGAGGGTCCAACACTGCCCCACCCTCTCAGAACCCTCCGTGGAGTCTCTCTGGGTTGTTTCACAGGTGGGAAACTGAGGCACACTGCAGCACCAGACAGAAGAACCTCCCCCCTCACTCAGGGTTACACAGGGCTGGCCTGGGATAGGGGGGTCCACAGCCTGGCTACCCCTGCCTTGGCCCAGAAGATCCCAGACCCTCAGTGTTCAGCTGGCATGGCCCTGTTCCCCCCCCCC